AATAAAATAAAATAGAGAAAACAGTGGAAATGTAACAGAAAATTGAGAAGTTCACTAATCGTTGATTTTTCAAGGCAGAAAAGGAAATGATCATTACCCTCTTTTTTTATAAATCCTGATTTCATTAGCACATCATCTCATCACTGCGTTTGGCACTTCATTTGCAATGATGCCTACGTAGACGATTTTTATGCGTCGCTGGGGAGCTCTCCATCTCCATAAATTTGTTAATCGACGCGACGAAAATGACGTGATCAATGAATCGCAAGAGGAACGACCCCTCGTCCTCTATTTTATACAAAAACATTAAAAAGTCCCACAAGCCACTGAGCTGAATAACCTAAGTCATTCTGCATTCAGTGTTCCAAAGGAATTTCTAAACCGTACTAATGGAACGACGTCGGAGAATTCTTTAAAGTGTTTCTGAACAGAAGCGAATTTTTCGAACTAAATCTCGACAATCATTTTGGACGTAACAGGTGGAGAAGCGATATGTGTAGAAAATAAGCGCAGTACGCAGAGGTACCCTCCCCTTCAAAAAGCGAGAAAGTGTCGGGTGCAGACCATGCACCACAAGTGACGACGGCCTTCACAAAATGTTAATGTTTTCTGCCAATGAAATGATTAGCCTGTTGCAGTTGTATTCTATCGATTGTCACTAATTACAACTATCATTTACCAGAAATCAGCTATCACTATGAACAACTTCTAACCAGATTTACTTGGAGGCCGTCGTCAGTTGTGGTGTTTGGTCTGCACCCGACACTTTCTCGCTTTTTGAAGGGGAGGTTAGTGTAGCATGCAGCACCGCATACACGCATGGTCCAAAAATCAATTTCCGGATCGAACTTCGCCCAGGCCAAGCAAACCTTACATCTTTGGTAGCAGGCCCGTCTTAAGAATGAAGAAGAATAAAGAACTGACTCTATACGGGCTGGCCTCCCCATATTTGTTGCGTTGGTCATCTCGCATTCATAACCGGGGTCAACCGTCCGTTGGACAAAGTCCAACGAGGGGGTGGAGGGTCGTATTTGGGGGTGGAAAAGAGGGGGTCGTATTTCGCGAGGTAGCGTTAATGTTACAGTAAGGGAAGGGATGATTTTTCATGGAATGGAGAGCGGATTAGGGTTGTTGGCTGGGATTTTGTGCGAAAATTTTGCAGTTTCACATTCGATACCCCCGTTCGACGGCAATCAATTTTGGAGGGTAAGAGGGAAAGGCGGAATTGGGCTGTGTCGACTCAGGATGAAATACTATACAATCGCCCCATGATGGCGATGGCAGGCGAGGGTGCTGGTGGTGGAGGATGGCCGTGAAGGGTTAACCCTGAGGGGGGGGGGGTCGTATCGAGGCCCTCTAGAGGGGAAGGGGGTCGTAAAATTCTTCGAAATTGGTCAAACGTGACGGTTGACCCAGTTCATAACGCCAGTACGATTGCGCATTGAAAAGAGAGCGTGTCGCATCCCGAGGGTGAATGATTGAAATCACGTTTTCCTCCTAAGCTGGTATATCAATGTAAAGCTGTTCGTATTCCTTTACTCGAAAACATTTGAAAAGTTATAAAGTACGAAAAGGGATTACATTTGCGCTGACACATGACGTAGGTTGGTGCTCTTCTTCTTCTCCCTAGCGTTAGTCCCGCGCAGTCGCAGGGTCCGCTGTCTTTGTCAGTCGTCGCCACTTTGCTCTGTCCAGGGCATCTTCTGCTGTGGCCATGACTTCACTTAGGTCCTTCTTGATTACGTCTCTCCACCTCTTCTTTGGGGCTCCTCGCGGTCGCTTGCCTTGCACTTCGAAGTCCATCGCTGTTCTTATCGGATGATCCTGTGGCCTCCTTAGCACATGCCCATACCATCGCAGACGCTGTTCCCGTACCTTCAGCTGGACAGGGGCAGTCTGCATGACCGCTCTGACATCCTCGTTTCTGACCCTGTCCAGCGAGCTGCCTTTCGTGATTCTTGTTCAGGGGCCAGCACTCGCTGCCGTAGAGCATCGCAGGCCTTACCACTGTCGGTACACCTTCCCTTTGAGCGTTCTGGAGCACCTTCGATCGCAGAGGATTCCAGTGGACTCCCTCCATTTCATCCATGCAGCGTTGACCCGAGCCTTCACCGCCTGATCCACACTACCGTCGGCTGCCAGATCGCTCCCAAGGTAGCGGAAGTCCTCCACTCTTTCGATGGTCTCACCATGGCCGTCCACGATCGGCTCTGCACCCTCTTCGGAGCTCAGGAACTTGGTCTTCTTGACATTCAGCCGGAGCCCGCCTTCTGCCAGGACTTCTGCCATTTCTGCACCTTGGCTTGAAGTTCCTCTCTGCTATCCGCTATCAGGGCGATGTCGTCAGCGTAGAGGATGGTCTTCAGTGGTCCTTCCATGAGGCCCTTCACCATGGTATCTAGCGTTAGGAGGAACAGGAAGGGCTCAGAGCTGACCCTTGGTGCACCCAACCGTGATGTTTACTCCTTCGTTAGGCCGTGAGGGGTGCGTATGGCTGCTTTGGCTCCTTCGTACATGTCCTTCACCAGCGAGATCAGGTGTTCTGGCACGTTTCGTTCCCTGAGCGACCTCCATAGCACTGCTCGCGGTAGCCGGTCGAACGCCTTCTCCAGGTCGAGGAAGGCTAGGTAGCAGGGTCGGCGCTTTTTCTCGATACTTCTCCATCACTTGCCTTGCGATGAAGATGGCATCCGTTGTAGACCTTTCGGGCATGAACCCGAACTGTTCCTGGGAGATCGGGACCAGCTCCCGCAGCTTCGAGTCGACCAGCCGCTCGTACAGCTTCATGGTATGCGCAGTCAACTTGATTCCGCGGTAGTTAGAGCAGTTCATTGCGTAGGTTGGTGCTCTGCTTAGCCTGTTGTTTTGAACCCGGATGACGTTAACATATACTCTCGTTGTCATCAGCTTTTTCTGAACCCCTACTAGGTAGAAGTGAAAGGAGGATGTGGGCGAGCTTCGGTATTTACGATCTTCTTCTTTGGACCCTATCTGCCATCAGAGGGCGAAGATCGATGAATTGACGCAACAGAAGCCATGACCATGACCAAATTTGTGTCTGACCCCAGGATGGGATCCCGCCAAGCCATTTCACTCCTCAACCTTTTTGGGTCAGTTGGCTCGCTCGATACCTGCGCTAGCTTTCAAAGAGAAAACCAACTTCTGCATGGTCGCGCGTCATTGTAAAAGTTGAATACATCTTTCCAAGCCACTATCATTATGGAGAAAAATGGAATGCATGGTGAATTTGAAAAGAGCTGGCAACACTGAATGTTTTCTTCTTTTCGTCTCTACATCTCGCACCGACATGCCAATTTGCACGTCGAGTTACAGGTTCTTTTACTTGTGCTGTAGAGCAGCTCATCATATGCACTAGACGACTTCCAATTGGGAATCTGTTGACACTAACCTCTTTCTCAACGTCTTCGTCTGCTTTCATAGATTTTATTGCCACTGATCGCTCACCAGTTTTCTCCCATGAGCCGCAGTAAACTTCGCCAAATGCACCCTAAAACATCACTGCTATACGAAGAGAGCGGGACCAGAAGTGAGTGATTTAGCAAATATTCAGGTACAGCATGTTCTGCGATAGCTCGATTCTACCCAGGTAGGAAATCGAACCTATCTTCTGAACGTACAGAGCAAATGTCAAAGTCACTACTCTCAAAACTGATCGCTGCCCTTTATAACGAAATACAAGTATTATGCTCAAAAAAATTAACGACGCCAAATGAATACTGCTAATTCTAACCACGTTCGTCTACAATTTGTTCAGCGATTATGACCCTGCCCTTGTTGGCACGTTTCCGTTATAAAGCACCGATTGCTAGCTAATCACTGCGCAAATGTGACACGTTGCGAATCTGCACTTGATATTAAAGAATAGTCCATATTTTTCTAGTTTAAAGACAACGATCGTGCTAAGGATTGATTGTGAGTGCGGTAGGTCCTGGGCTTCTCCCAAGTGACTAGACGGATGGGTGATGTAACGCTGGCATCGCTGTCAATAGGAGATTAAAGCAACAGTCCAGGAACGAATTCGCGGCAAAAAACACCGATAATGAAGTTGTGGGTGCAAAGTTGACCAATAATGAAAGAAAAGTTAAAAAAAGACGTCGAACAGGGACTTAGACAGGGGCTCCCCCTCTGCCACTTAGCAATGGAGGAAGACGCTCGTTGGACGAGTTGTATGAACATGCCCGCAGTAAATGCGCCCCAATTGCAATAGCTGGCAATTGCTGGCAAGTAGCCAGCTATTGCAATTGGGGCGCAATAATGGGATCGTTTCATGTTTTGAAGGTAGAAGGTAGAAGGAAAAAATGTAGAAATTCAGCGTTGTCGGCATCACTACATCGATTGCTTTAAAGGATCGACCTCAAATAGTCCCGGCGGTCCCGCAACGACCGCCAATCAACTACGCGCTCTTCACAGCAGCAAGGGGGCGGCTCCACCGAGGCTCGGTGGACCCGCCCTTTTCGAAGAAGTTCGAGCCCTTCCTACGCATTTCAAAGGTAAGTTTTTAATTCAGTGACAGTTCCTATGAACTTCACTTGGGCTGGGGCATGCTTCCACACCTCAGGATTGAATTGGTTGAAACCCTCCTTGGACTGTTGCTTTAAGGTACGCGCCTGGAAATTTGGCTAAACCTCTCCACCAAAGACTAAACGCTAGCCCTTTTCCCAGTTTGGGTTCAAACCTTCTAGGGCCTTCTGACACTATCCGTTGGATGCCAGGGTAAGACCGCTGCAAGCGAAGTAACGCACTCCTATACTTACGCAAAATTTCTCATGAAATTCTGGAAAAAAAATCAGATTTCCTTTGGAACCCGTAAGCTGTCTGCCATTCCAGCCAGCACAGCTCATCTTTTTCTGGGCAGCCATACACATCACCGTTAGCACTCCCTCTTACCATCAGCGGCTTACAGCCCGTGCTCCGCCTTTCTGCTTCTGTGTACTGTGACATGAAGATTTCTCAGGAATGCAAGTTTTTGTGAGCTCCCATTAGAACACGACCAACAACGACCAAAGTGCTAACTAGCAATTGTGCAGTATAAGAAAGTAATAAAAAAGAAGAGCATTTTCATTTGGAAAATGATTTATCTGCTTATTAACAAATTACCTTCCCAATACATTCGTGTATTCGAATGGTGCCTAACTCAATGAATGGAATGATTTGACCGGAATAGTCAGATGATGACAGTGAAGAGCGTTCCTCTGAAAACAGTGTTGGTTGCGTAACGTTGTAAAGAGGTGCTCATGGTGTTGGCAACTAACCAAGTCTTAGCAGGGTTTCTTCAGTCACTCGGCTAGTTCTTCGTGACTCAATCCTCTCTTGCATGGCACGTTTTCGCATGAGGTTTATCTGAAGAGTACTATAGATGTCCAGCATTCCCTCACATCCATTAATTCCTTTAATTATTTGCTATGACAAGGGTTTTTTGCTTCTGGAGAGCCTGGGCAAAGTTAGAAACAACAGATGAGAATCTCTTGTCTTCTGTTGATAAGCCTCGGGTCGCAGGCCCGAGTTTGTGAACCAGTTGCTGCATTTGGCGAATACAACTCCCCTACCTCGCACAAAACGTGAAATGCCTCTTATCCCTTTCACGCGAGCCGCCTACCCTCCCTCACTTCCAGTCTTCGGCTGATTAATGACGTCAACACTACCGGTTAGCATGGTACGACGTGGCAAACTTCCAGTGCTCCACTTAAAACCCTGAAAAAAACTGTTGGGTGAAGACGTTTCTTCCCAACACTTCCCTTCTTTCATTGTCTCGGAACCTACGATTTCAAACTCTCCAAAATTTCAATGTCCCCGCCATCAAGAAATCCAACGCAAGCCCTATGCTTCTGCAGAGCCTAGGCGAAGTTACAAACAACAGACGGGAATCGCTTGTCTTGTCTGTAAGACCCTTCTACAAGCAAGGCGCAAATAACGCATTATCGAGTATTCTATGTAGATCATATCTGGAGCAGCACGTCTTTGTCACTGTAGAGTCCACACAACAGGCAGGATGAAGCAAAAAATAAAAGGTGCACTAGGTGAAACTCCAGTTCGGGGGGGCACTCCATTTTTCTCCAATACTCAAGATAAGGATTAGAGGGCTCACGACACGTAATCGACTCATTTAAAGGCAAAAGTC